TAATACTACTAGATAATTCCTAGCTACTTGGGACGATCATTTCAAAGATGAAAAAACAAATGACGAAATTATCGATGATGATCTGATTGAAATGAAGTTAATATAACGGGAATACGGAAATAGATTAGACAGAAAAAGAAAAACTATTTTGAATTTCGACAAAGGAATTTATTTTATTTAATGTTAGGTGAAATACGAACATGAATATTTATTTTTCATATAGGAAAATGATATAGTCCAAGTAGAGTTTTTGATTTTTTATTTAATGCTCATTTCAATATCCTAAAAATCAAATAAAGAATGTATTCACTCGACTTCTAAAACGAAAGAATAATTCCATCAAAAAAGCGTGTTTGAATGAATTTCAGAGTATTTAACAACACCTTCTTTTCGAAAAATAAATTTCTTAATATCAATTTCCAATCGTTTGTTGGACCTTCAAATCGTCCCTATCAATTGTTATATCAATGAAAATGTTTTTTTTGTTGTTGTGAGATTCACGTATTTCGAAGAAAATAGTGAATGTAAGTTAAAATCGAGGTTTTTGCGACTCTGCCCAAGACCCTAGGAATCAGAAATGTGATGAAGAAAGCCAATCATCAATGGTTAATTTTTTCTGGCAGGGGAAAAAGTTGCGTCAGTAATAAAAGTTCTTAGGTCATTCTGAAACCTTCTAGAATCTTTGAATCTAAGATTTCTAATATAGATTTTTACTACATCGGCTAGATATTGTGGGTTTTGATATTCAATACAGTGAATGAATGTATTTGAGGTGTCAATCAGTCGGGTGTTGGTATTATTGATCTAGCAGAGTCAAAATGGAGCGAACATAAAAAAGTATGAACTTATGAAATTCCAAGTTTTGGCCAAACTCAATGATACATATCAAAGTTAATTGAGAGAAAATATAGTGTTCAGAAGTTTACTAGACAATTAAATCAATATTTATATCAGGCTACCATGGTAGTTGAACAGATGAAACAAAGAATAAAACGAAATTTGCCACTTCTTATGGCATTTATGATATACATTATTATTAGAAGATAAACGAAGTTACATAATAAAAACACATCTGATAATACAAGTTTTTTCAGTAGAACAACGTTAAATGAATCTAATCAATTTTTATAGCAGTAATTCTAAGTGGAAATATTGTTAACATGATAAAATTTCAGTGTGTGTCTCAAATATAAAAATTTTTCTCTTATAAGAAAGGTATTTGTTATGCTGGTCATGCTTTTTAATTCTCCTAATCATAAGTTTATTATAAAATAAATACATTTTAAAATACAACGCTTCTTTATAGAAAACAAATTCTTCAGAAAATCTTAAAACGGACGTATCTACAATTTAGTTGAAAAGATAATGACGTTGACTATTTATTTTTTTTCTTCAGTCCATCTTTGATAATGATACGAAAACAAGAAGGTAATGATAACAGCTGGATAGCTATCATATTCCGTAATACTAACACCGTTTTATTCCTTAAATTTTTATTCGTTTGTATTTTTCAAATGATTGTAGAATTGATTGAATTTTGCGTTTGGGTGTGGATGAAGAGAGAGAGTCCACATCCACACCTCGTTATAATTATTTTTCGATTTCTATAAATGTTAGATTTTAAACAAGATTTGCTTGATTATTATACATCATTACAATCATATGATGAGTATTAAGGATTCAGAACATGTTATCTTGTATTTTTTCTTATTAGAAAGTTACAATGTTTATACTTGGTTCATGATAGAATGCAAGATTTTGCAATGATTAATTTGTACAATATACTGATAGAATCTATTTTAAGGATGAAACATCTTGTATAAAGAAAAAAAAATGCCTTCAATCTTTTCATGCAATGATTGAAATTCAAGTAATCTTTTTTTTATCTATCTGAGTATTGTAAACTGTCATATTGTCTGATGAAGTTGTTAATGATTAATTGCTTGTTTATCTTTATACAGAATAGAATACATGATTATCGCTCTTTTTCTTTTTTTTTTTGTATTGCTGATAGCAAAGCATTGACAAGATCACGCAAGCCCTAAAAATTTTTTTTTTCTATTCTGTACATTATGTTACCGTGCGGAAGGAAGAAAAATCAGCATTTTGTCTAATTTTTTTTTTCATATTATTTTTCGCTTCTTATTACTTACTTTATTTCTGTATTCTTCGGCGTTTAGTCTAAACTACTCACCATCGAGATTCAATCTGAACAAGAAAGTGAACAAGTTGGTATAATGATTATAAATAATACATCTGCTACCAAAACATGGTCATTGACTCAAGACCTCGAAATACGACGAACTCGAAAAGTTCTTTTGATCATACTTGGCGTATGTCTTGTAAGTTTTCTTCTCCTGATGATTATAATTCAACAATAATAGCGAAAAATATAGATTTTTTTAGTTTGTTGAGAACTATTAGCAACTCATGTATCGGTACTTTGCGAAGAATATTTTTTTTGTTTTTGAAGCATTCTTAGGCTGAAATCTAACATAATTTCAGACTATAGAAGAGGTAAAATGAAATTAATGCAAAATGTTTTGTATGTGTTGAAATGAGCATGAATATTAACTTGTTTCGTACTAATCTAAAAATAATTTGACTAAATTTATACTCTTGTAGAACGTTCAGCATTGATCCATCTATAATATATTCGAAATACAATTTGTCTTTCATTGATATTATACATTAATTTTATAGGCTCTCAGTGTGATTAGTTCGGTTAATTCAATTTTTGGAAGTGCTAATTCAATTGGTATAAAACAGAATCATGTTGGTACACGAATTGGTCAAGGTCTTATTTCAATAGTTTTCTACAGTTTTGGAATCTTTGTTGCTTATCGATATTCTCAAATAGGTTTACGAGTGGTATGTATGATTTATCATTTTTTTAAATATACAAATCGTAGTAGAATATTCGAAGCAAATCTTCTTTGTTTTAAATTACAAAGTAGATTTCATTTGATTTAAATAAATTTTTTTAATCCAGTTTTTATTGACTTAACCTTATTGATTAACGAATCGAATATTTTCCTAATCATAGGAGTTATTTATTTGAACGAAAAAAAAAAAAGAAATTTTGATTAATTTTAAATATAGTTATATTTGATTGAGACTATTGGATGTTTTCCAATAATAGATCGATATTCTTCTAAAATTGAATAAGAACACTGACTGATGTAGTGTAAATGTGTTACATTGGGTTGATAGTAATTATTGAAAGATTTACAATGCTATTCTAAATTCAGCCGTTTAATTAATTTTTCTGGTGATAAGTCTTCATGGAGCAAAGTCAAATTGGAATTATGCTCGACAAAAAAGTTTCTATCGAAATATTTTTTGCTATTTCTCGAAAGCATGGTTTAAAAAAATCTATAAAGAAAACGATTTTTGACAGTTTTAATAGTTTCAAGATCTTAGATGTCTATATTCATATTTGAGAATGCGTGAAAACAGGTACAATAACTTGCTAGATTATTATTCTTTCAAAAAGAAATGTTCGTATTACACCTGATCTTTGCATTTTCTATCTTTAGTTTGCTTGGCTGGGCATAGTTGGACTCATCTGCTTTGGTATTGTTATTGGATTTCTCCTATTTGCTGGTATTATAACTTTAACTGCCAGAAGCATGACCAATGATGATTCAGACAAAGTTCTTCTGATGACTTTATCAATAGGTGTCTTCATCATTACTATTACTATCATTGCTGTTTTTACTCTTACAGTAAATAGTTTATCTCGTTCATTTTTATTACTACTATACTTCTTTAACTTTGTAGATTGTCATTGTAAAGTTCGCTTTCAAATTGGCTAAACTTATTGATGCCAAAGAAACTATAGTCCTTCAACAAGTTTAAATTTTCGTTTACTCAAGATTTTAATCATATTAACTTGCATCGAATTTTTTTATTGTTTCTTATTTACTATTTCTTTCTTGTCTAGAAATTCAAAAATAAATATTAATAATCTTTTCTTTATCGATAACTTGCTGAACAAAGCAATTATTTTCATAATCAAATAATGTAACATAACAAATATGAGTCTCTTATTTACTACCTAGAAGAAATATAGCTGAAACTACCATCTTTTATATTAACATAATTAGATTCATTCTGTAACAGCATTTGCTTCATTATCTTTAAGCTGCTTTTTTGCTTAGATTCATATATACGTAATGGTCATAAATTAGAATAGCATTACTATCGCTCTCGATGTTGATATTTTTTTAAAAGATTATTTCATATTTCTAATTATATCTATCTCAGAAAGACGATATGGGTATGTGGGTGTTGTTCTTTCTTTTATCCACCCATACCCACATCCCACACCTACCCACACTCTACTTGAAAATTTTGTCATTGTATATGAAGTGAAAATATAATCGATTTTTCATTCATCTTTTTTTTTCTCTGCACTCGAAAAGAATAAAAAGTCTAGGTTTTCTTCCATTGAACGGAGCAGCAAATTGATAGAAAATGCAGCATTAAAAATCTTTCAATTGTCATTCTATATCGAATATGTTCGATATTTTGATTTTCAATGTTTTGCAATGTGACACTAAAACCAGCATTTGAAAAGTAGTTTTTTTTTCTAACATTGAACCCATCATTTGTAATAGAAGTTTTTGAAAAATATCTATGTATTCAATAGTATATTCGATGCTGTATTCTGTACAACCAATGTTTTTTATAGCATAAGTCACACGAGCAAATATTTTCTTCAGATTCTATATACACAGGAGTCTCAGAAGCTATTAAAGAAAAGTCGCAATAGAGAAATGTCTATGTTCTAAATACATATGATGAATGTGTTTATGCTGTATTGAAAATTGGGATATATTTTGTATGATTAATTGATATTAAAATAAAAAAAAAAACAACTTTGAAGTTTAAGAAGTCTACTGAATTTCCAGATTAAAAATTGGCAAAAAACTAAAGTCAATAAAATAATAGTAGCGAGTTTCGGGGAATAGATCATCTTTTGAAGTTGAATAGTATTATTTTTTTTTTGATTCTTCAATATTAATAGAATATTGTACTTTACCAGAGAGTCCTTGTATTTTAATCCAAGGTTGTGTGAAAGGAATTTTTATGTCTGTATAGTAATAATTAATCGGTTTCTTTGATTTTAATTTTCGTATTCCATTTGCTACATTATTTATGATCTTTAGTTTACCATTTATATCTATCTTTTCATTTAAAGCTAATTCTGTGAATATTTTTAATATTTCATAAGCTATAATAGCACTTTCATTTTTTAATAATTCTAATAAATCATCGATAAACTCACTGGGTGATAAATGTATTAAAAGAATTTCAATTGCAGTATATTTCTTCACTACCTTTTCATCAAGTAATGTGCTCAAGACATTTATGATTACTTGATGATCAGGTTGGTTCATTGCTGCAAGTAATATAAAAGCATTTCCTCTTGCTGCAAAACATGGATGATTATTAAGAATTTTTTCCAAAAGTACAACCATTTGAATTTTATTAAAATTTGGAGCATTTGTTAGTTTTTGATACAAATAATCTTTCTTTTGAACATAAGCAGAAACCAAAGATAATAAAGAATTACACATCATCAATGAAAACCATGTATCATCAAAACCTTTAATATTTCTCATTTTTTTTATAACCATGTTATTAAATTTTCTACAAGAATAATATTTATTGAAATATTATTAAACATATTCAATATAGTTTGATTTAAATCAATAGAAAGGTACAAGTTGCAGCGACCTATATGTTTAATTTCGTTATAATTATTTCGTGAGAGATTCTCAAATCCAACGGATATTTCTCGAATCAATCGTGATTCAATAATTTCGAAATATGTATCATCATTAATATTTGTTAATGCACAAATATTATCGAGCATAAATTCTATTCTTTCAACATCGTTATATATGAAGAAAAGTCTGTCTTTAAACTGATTTATATCTGTAACTGATAATATTCTAGAAAATTCAATTCAATTTTCTTGTTTTATCTGATCTTTCTGTGTTAACATCATCGTTGAGCAAAGTAGTTCTTTTACTGATGTTGGATTAAGTGATGAATCTAATGTTCGTATTATTAAATTCCAAGTATGACCATTTATGAAATGAATCCTATCTAAGAACTGCATTCTTCGTTCATTGGCAAAGATTCTCTCTTCTGATTGATTTATATGTTCATTTAAATGACGAAAAACTCTAGGATCATCCCATAATAAGTCATAGAAAAAACTAGCAATATAAGCTCGAATTCATGAAAGATGCTCTTTTGCCAATGCATATTCAAGAATTATTATCAATGTCTTTTCTCCTATTACAGATATTCTCTTAATCGGTTCTTTGACATCTCTTTCTGGATGTTGAAAAATCCGTTGAGCTCTATATTTCATTTGATCATTATCACTTATTAGTAAATCAACAATTGTATTCATTGCTGATTGAAAAACATTCTTTGCTTCTGCAAGTAGAATAGCTGCTAAATTTTTTAATTGAATTATTATTATGCTGAGTAAACCATTTCTGAACAATTGGTAATACTTCATTGAATGGTTTTATAACATATGGAAAAATTATTGAAATACTATCTTGTTTTCCTTTTTGCAACAATTCATCAATAATTATGGCTATTTGTGATGTCAAAAATATTTCATTATGTACACCAATATTTAATATCTTTTCAATATTTGATTGATTATCAGTATCTTTGAAAAGATTAATCCATAATTGATTTGTACTCTCTGTCTTATCAATAACTACAGGGTGGGTAAAAATATTATTCCAGGGGACTAACACAATAATTTCAAATAGTATACATAACCAATTTTATACCAAAAGAAAGCGCGTCAAAAATGGGATTTATTGATACTAAATGGTAAAGGGTGTGGGTGTGGGTGTGTGGGTATGGGTGTGAGTGTGGATGTATGGGTGGGTGTGTGGGTGTGGGTGTGGGTGTGGATGAAGAATATATATACACACCCACACCCACACCCACATCCTCATAAGACAATACCTCGATTTTTCTTTGTTTCTGTGTGTTCTTTATATTCTGTGTGTATTCGATATTCTAGAATGTTCACTCATGCAATGACTTATTAGAGGAAAAGCATTAGCTTATCAACGAAACTATAAAACAAAATACGAAAGAAAACACGAGAAATATAATAGGAAAGAAAATCAATGTTGGTCAATAACGACATCTCATAAGTTTCGACATATTACATGATCGACGTTTTTTTTTCGATTTTTTTTCGTTCGACGTTTATTTTTCGACCTTTTTTCCGCCGTTTTTTCCTTCGACATTTTTTCTTTCGGCGTTTTCATAGTAAATCTATACCATGTCCAAGGAACATAATCAATATATTGAATTCTACAGTTGGTATTGTGAATAAATTGACAGTGTTCGTGAGGAACTAATTAGATTGAAATCCTTATTAAAGGGGGAAGATATTCCCAAAGTATTTCCTTACTTCATGAAGAAGTATCCTGACTCTAATACTGAAGCTTCTCACTAGAGAGATTTTCTAAATAAACATTTCTTTATTTTTATTTTTTATCTTTATTTATTTCAACGCTACCATATAGTCGCTTTTCTCATTTAGCTAGCTATCTGAAAATAAGTAGTTGAAAATTATTTTTTAAAAATGTATAGCTACTCAATGATTTAAATACCAATCGAATCTTTTGTCGTTGAGTCTGTATGCATTTGTTTTCTATTTTATGTAGATAATTAAAACATGTTTCATCTAACAAACAGTGATAAGAAATAGATTTAAAAGTTTAAACATAACCAGTTGCTAGTTTTTTCATCAGTTGAATAAATATTATTTTGTTTTAACAAGTACATGCTGACTGATCGAATGCTATTTTGTAGTATTATCAATACATCAGGGTAATCATGATGTTATTTCTATTGAATCTGGCTTAATTACATCCAATGATTTATTCATCTTGACATCTAACGAATGATTCAGACCCAACCATTTGCTAAATTGACTCATGTTGAAGAATAAACCTTTAAAAATTTCATGCACAATATTTTATGACATTTTGGGTGTATGTGTGGGTGTGGAGCTATTCTTTATTCATATCTACCCACACTCCACACCTATACTTACACTCACATCCACACACAATAATCGGACAACAGAAGAATTTTGTGATGAAATCATGACCAATATATGAACGACGTGAAAAATAGACTTTTTGTTAAATTATATAGATTTTTAATTTTTATGACTTAAACCCCTCCCCATATTAGAAGCCCCCGGGGGGCTTCTATTAGATCCTGCAAACTTTGGCCGGGTTTTGCTGGGCAAAACTGAAAATTTTGCTGGAGAGACCCCTCCAAGGGGGGCTTCTAATAAGGGGGGGCTTCTAATATGGGAGGGGCTTCTATTATGGGGAGGGGTTTAGTTTAAATTGTTTAAGTATTCATTTTCTTCCGGTTAAGTGATACAATAAGTATAACAACATCAATCGCATAGAAATTTTTGTTTTTTTGATAAGTCCTGATGTGTTTATCGTGAGGATGATGCAGTTTATGTTGTATTTAATTTCTTTTTTCGTTTTTTCACTGTCTAATTTTTGTATCCCTCCGATACGTTTCTGTTTTTTTAGACATCCAGGAGTGTCTGATTTGAGTGGGAGTATGCCGATAATGATATCAAATCTCACGTATCTCTCTTTGTTCAGTCTATCGTATCTCTGTCAATGTTTCCTTTCTTCATCTGTATTTCTCTCCTAAATAAGTTTGTGTTTAATGTAAAGTATTCACAGCCTGGATGTGTGAAATAGCCGAATAAGCATCATTATCGAGAGAGGCAGCAAGCTACTTCATCCAGCTTGTCCTCAAAAAAAAAGTACATTTTTCTAGTACATTATGTTTTTGTGAATTCTTCGTTTTTCCAGAGGGTTAAAGTTCTGATGCAAAAGTTTAAGTATTTCAATGCAAGTAAATATTTATTTTACGTTGCATTCATATGTCACAATCAATCAGATGAATGTTGTGTATTTTGGTTTTCAAATGGATGATTTTTATGCACTTCGATGCTATTCTTGAGTATGTCTTTGAATCGTAATAGTGCATGATGAATAAGCCTTTTCTTTTTCTTGAATTGAAAAAGAATCCCTATTTTAGCAATTATATATATTTAGCTGAATTTTATGTATTATATTCAGTTGGTGTGTTGTGTCTACCTGATTTAGTCGTACTTTGGTTGTGCTTATCTACGCCTGGTAAGAGAATTCCTTCCAAAAATTTTAGCTAGTATTGTGATGGATGAATTATGGGTATGGATAGAACTGCAATGATTGTAATTGAATGGAGTAAACAATGAAAACAAGGAAAAACAGAGTTTTTATTTCGGTTTCTAGATTTTAGAATACAAAAATGACATTCATAGTTGGTAGATAATACAAACGTTCTTGTTTATTTAGAAAAAGTCCTAAAATCTCGTAATTGTTGATAATACGATGTAGTGTTTATGTGTAAGATTAGCATAAGTATCAAACAAATTTTAATGCTTTTGCATGAGGATTAATCATTATAAGTAATCCTTCAGGATAATTGGTGAGTTTAACATTATCTTAACATGTACTTTAATTTTAATAAATAGACTCAATTTTGCTTGAGAAAGATACCGAAACCTCCTACTTACTCATAGTATTCCAAGTCTTACAGATACCAGTTGGAATTGTACAAGTTGTGTGTGGATGTGGTCGTAAGAGAAAATAAAGCTAAATAAATACTTACACCCTACCATTCCGCATGAAACTGTCCATGTTTTGGCAAATAAGTCCAACATACGTCCAGAGGACGATTTCTTGAAAAACTGTAACATATATGGCTTTTTCATCAATCGATTTCTCATGAAAAATTGAAGTTATCAGGAGAATTTGAGATTCCTGTCATTTGTTTTGATAGAATTAGCAGAAAGAGGTCGCAAAAAACAGTTTCATTGTTTTCCTCATCTCTTCGTTCTGCTTTGTCCGCTAGGATCGGGTACAGACTTACTGACTCTCCTGCTTTTAGAAGTTGATTTTTAGGACTTTCTGTTTTAACAGGCTTGATTTCATCAACAATGAGAACCGAGAAGAAATGCATTAAAGAATGAATTATTCTTAGCAAAAAAAAACCTAATCATTTTACCAACATCGTAACCCATGTAAAAAAAAAGTTATAGGAAAAGGTTCAAAATCAGATTAAAAATCGATTATAATGGCACTATTATAACCTGATTTTAATCAGGTTTGTCAGCCTTAAAAGACAGATTTTATTTGATTTAATCTTTTTTAATCTATTTTAATTGATTATTAAAATTAAATCAATTATAATTTATTATGAAAAATCGATTTTAATTGATTAAAGTTTTTTTAACCGCTTAAAATAGATTAAAGAGGGTTAAATCAAATAAAATTTGTCTTTTAAGGCTGGGAAATCTGATTAAAATCAGATTATAATAGTGCCATTATAATCGATTTTGAATCTGATTTTTAACTTTTTCTTATAACCTTTTTTTTACATGGGAAGAACGAAGTTCTAGATAGTTTTTTTGTCATATCTTAGGGTGTGAATGTGGGTGTGGGGTGTAGGTGAACATGAATCTTCTTTCTATCCACACGCCAACACTCCACTCACACTTACATCCGCACCCCAAACATCTACCTACATCTACAGCCATACGCACAC